CCCCCCCCCCCGCCCGCGTGCCGCCGCCGTCGTATACGGAAATTATTCAAATTGTAATCTTGATAATACGCGGAATTTATTATTATTCGCCGTATCCGTCGATTTAACCGATCGTAAAGGATTTTATTCGCTCCAGAAACGCCCGCGATCCGGCGGCGGCTTCCGCTCAAACGAACGATGCGGTGTAATAATATTTCCGAGAACCCGAGTATACGGCAATACAATTTTTTTCTTTTTTCTTTTTTTTTTTTTTGACGAAAAAAATAAACTCCCGTCGAAAAATCAAGCCTCGTTGTTGGGTTATAAACTCACTGCGTTCGGCGTTCGCGCGATCCGCCCGCCGGATTTCGTATCATTTGTCCGCCGGCCCGCCACTCACTTAACGCGCGCCGCACTTAATTGATATCGAACGTTTCCGTTTGAAATCGTCCGTTCGCCTGGCATTTTCAGTACGACGACGAATTTATTATATTATACGGGTCGACGTTCTTGTTATATCGAAACAGAGAGGCGGAAACGCGTAAACGGTTGGTATTAATCCAAAATTGTATGGTTATAACGACTGCGCGTAACGAAATTGTCGAATCCGCGTTTGACATTGGCCGGAGTCTTTGGTCGAAATCGAAATTCACTAATAATTCGTTAAGCGTACGAAAATCATGGGTAAACGTTTGAAAATAACGTGAAAATATCATAGCTTAAACGATTCTGCAAGGTGATTGGCAGAAAAAAAAAAGAACCCAGAAATTCATAAAATTTTACCAGACAATTGTCGCGAATTTCGTGAAAATTATTCCGAAAATGTGATAAAAAACGTTTGCGTTATTTTACAAGGCGTTCTTTCGCTCAGAAATGATAACTGTTATGATTTTAATTGCGATTATCTCTCGAGTATATTATTGTTACAACTGCACGATGTCAACGCTGACCAAATTGGTTCTACTGAATGCGAATTCGCCATTTTATTATGAGTTTTGTATAAGACGGCGTGAACAAATGTATTCGAATTCAGCTGCGGGCAGTGTATACGGATCCGAACGCCGAGTTATTACGTTGATTGCCGAATACTCCACTCGGGGGCTGGGTAAACTACCGAACACTTTTATCGTATGGCATATAATATATAGTGTAAAACTACGAATTCAGTGGCGCAGAAAACAACAGTCAAGGGTAGCGGTCGCCGCTCTTATTTTAACGGGTGAGCGGCAATGGTGGATCCATGATGGGTATCTGAGTCGTATTTTATTTATTTTTTTTTTATCGAATCGCGGTGCATATGGAATATTAATTGTATGGGAGTTTGTTCTTTTGTAAACGAGGGTGGTAGAACGAGTGGGCTGTATAATTTTCTACCTGCCCACCTTCTTAAATTACATTATTCGGCGGCACCGTTCGAAATATATCGACGGCGTTCTTTGGCGCAGACAGAGGGGACTCCGGGGATATAGTATAACTGCACACAATAAGAGATCCAATCGATATTACGGGGGATATTTGTGCCTATGACGGGTCTTTTAAAGAATATAGCTACTCGTAGTTTGCAATAGTATTGTTTCGCAATAGTCGATCGAAATATCAAACAAGTTGGAAAACTCGCCGAGGTCTAAAATAATACTTAGCCGAAATCGAAAGTTTCGAGTTGGCAAAATAAAATACACTATATAAGTATACCGCGGAAGGCGAAACGTAATGTTATTATAAGCTAATTTGAGTGGAGGGTTTCGAAATAATATTATCAAGTTGCAATAACTGCTGTAATATAATAATATTATAAAGGCCGCTGCTGCGACTTTGTTACCGCTGACAATAATAACGAAGTTATACAACGTTTAATTATTAGTTTTATTAAAAGTTTTCGCGTCCTCCGAATAAAATGTTGTTATTCGATTGGTTTTAAAAGAAATATTAGTAATAATAAAAAAAAAATAATAATAAAACCGAGCTTATACCGCCGACACTTTTGTAGTTTGGAAGTTGAGATGTACGCATGATGGATATTATAATTATTTAATTATTATCTGTACGCAACGATAAACCGAAGTTTGGTTCAATATAATTTGAAGTGATTTGCCGTGATTTTGACGGTTTTCATCAAAATTTCAACTCGGGATGTTCATTAAGAAAAAAAAACTACTATTATAATATTATATTATGACAAATTATATTACACTGCAGGTTTCACTATAAGTAAAATTTATGATAAAACTTGTATGAAATTGTTTAACATTTTGACGGGGCCAAAACTATTTTATTCACATAAGACCGAATAAAAAAAACACACAAAAAAAAAAAAAAGGACTATGAAAACGTCAAATGACTACAAATAGCTCAAAAATGATCAACATATTCTGAAAAGGCATAAATGGCGAATGCAAGTATATTCTGTGAAAATTTTAAATCTCTACGAGTATTTTTAACCGAATTACAACAAAGGAACAAAATCGAAATCGTTATTGATGTAAATCTTCCCGTTTTTTATCCCCAAACATTTTGGGAATATGCAAGAATAATCAAAATATGTTCTCAATTCGCCAATTTGCTTCGCTTTCCGAAAAGATGCTACGCTATGAAGTTCGGCACAAGATTTCTGGGAGAAAAACAAAATCGAAAATGATGAAAACATTTTATTGCTGTAAATCGAATAGGTATTATTTTCCGGTCTTTCCGAATCACCATGAAAATCGCCAGCGAAGACAACGGTTTTTCACCAACAAGCTCTCTTGTTGTTATTCGATTGAAGCTGTGTTTCTCGTAGAAAAGTTTTTTTTACAAACGCAAATAACAAAGAAGAAAGAGTCGCACGCGTCAAACAGTAAAACAAAATATGTATTCCACGCTGCGCTCAAAATATTACAACGGAACGTGTTGTCCGTACAATTTAATCGCATTGGACGTGTTATTTTGTATTTTACTTTCGTGAAACCCGGCAACCGAAACTGTATAGTATACCGTACTGAAACTTATAATAAGTTTCCCCTCCCCCCCTCCCCTCCGTTACTTTTTATCCGACTTGTATAAACTAATAATATTCTTACCGTCTAACCGCCGAGTTTTCCGTTCACCTGCAGCAGTTACCGACCCTACACGTAAGAAAAACCCGGCCGGGTGTACGTTTCGAGTGCGATTTAGGGTTTCTTATATTATTAGGTAGGTACGTGTAATGTGTGTATTATATTTCAACATATTCCGTTCGAAATAATTTCGTCTGAAGTGTTTATGAAAAGTACACTATACTTCTTTGGAGTTTGTCTGCATTTTTAATCGCACGGACGGGAAGTTATACGGGGGACCGGGAGCGGCACGTTATAATCGGATTCGGAAGCTTAAACATTATCGCGAAATATTCGTCCGTAGTAAACGAAAACGTTACATAAGAACGTCTGTTGCGTTTTTCAAAATAACATTTTCATTTTTCAGATTTACAAGACTCACAGAAAACTACCGCTAAATTAGTTTAGGAATTTTTCGACCGCTAAAAATTGTACGGCGGTCCACATAGTACAGCGTGGAGTATACACGAGAAAGAGGTGGGACGCATTTTAGCGTTTTTTTCAAACTTCAGCGTTTCACTTCGGTCAGGCCGCTTTTTCGATTTTATTTTGGGTTTTGCAAATGTTCAAACAGTTATTGTATAATAGTTTGAAGTTTAAACCGAAATAGTGGGCAAAGGTAATAAATTGCATAACCAGATGTTAAATTCATTATGATTCGGTGGTCCGACCCTCTATTTTTACTTAATGCACTCCGCTTTTTGATGTAAATCTCAAAAGACTTATTGCTTACAAAGTAATTGTTCACTATACCGATCCCCGTCCCGGACGTTATTATACGTGTACT